GCCATGAAGAAGAATGAAATCTTATCATTCTCAAGTAAATGGATGGAACTGGAGAACATCATTCTGAGCGAGATTAGCCAGGCTCAGAAGACCAAAAATTGTATGTTCTCCTTCATATGAGGACTTTAGACCTAGGGCAAATACAGCAATGTGGTTGGTCTTGGGGAACATAAGGTGAGAGCACACACGGGAGGTATGGGGATAGGTAAGAAATCCCAAAAAACATGATAGTATTTGAGGTCCTCACTGTAGAGGAACTAACACAGAAACTCTAAAGCAACAGAGGTCAACATGAGAAGGGGATCAGGAACCAGTGTAAATATCAGTTAGAGAAGCATCAACTTGGGTTATAACACATTTATACATGTAAGCAATGCTAGGAATCTCCCTGTATAGCTATCCTTATCTCAACTACCAAAAATGCTTTATCTTTTTTATTATTGTTTATGTCTTCTCTTCAACAAAATTAGAGATAAGGGCAGAACAAGGGAGCAGGGAATGGCGGGAGAAATGGCCCAAACATTGTATGCACATATGAATAAACAAGAAAAAAAAAAAAAGATCAATCTGGTCATGCTTAAAAGAGAAAATCTTTTAAAGGATCAGTAAACTTACTTAAATTACACTATGGTGTCTGTCATTTATTATTAATTTACCTTAATGTCCCAGTTCACTACTTTGTTTCCTGTTAATCTTCCATGGAAACAATTAGTAGACAAATCAAGGCAAATTGAATTTTTGCAGGCCTAAGAATAAAAGAAAAATATAGTCAACAAGTAAGTGTAATAAGAACAAAACATAACTTTAACCATATATTTCATCATAATTTTAAAAAGTATTATATAACATAATGACAAGATGTCTACCACATGACTTTTAGTATTACTGTTCTCTGAATGTCTTATGTGTTTTATGGTTAAATATCTGGTAAAACAGGATAAAGCCAAGTAAAATAGTTTGTTTTTTACAGCAGTATCTTCAAAGTGTATCATCAAACTCTAAGAGGGATATGAAGAATGCAACAACTCCCACACTTATTTAGCTATAAAACCCTTAACGCATGACACCCCACCACTTTGGAGAAACATTCCTACAATAAGCTGTTTTTACTTACACATTGGTCATATTGGGTTTCTTGGGAAAAAACATAATAAGGCAATAGTTATTATTTTTTAAACAGTACAGATTTTTTTTTATTTTCAGTAGTAAAAAATCCAACCTTAATATTATCAAGTTTGAAGTTACCTTGTAAAAAGATGACAACCATACTGTCAAAGAACCAGCTGGCCATCACATATCTAGAACATGTTACTAAATATATTATTTAGATTAAATCCAATGTTTTCCTAGTTATCTATGTTACATATTGGATAATGGAAATAAGATATATTCTTGTCAAGAAATAATGTAAAGTATGGTTGGGTATATAAACATATCATTAGGAAAAAATGTTACAAAAAACAAGCAAACAAAAAATGTAAGACTCAAGAGACAATATAACCAACTTTATTCATGAACCTTGACTGGATCCAGGAATAATTTTTTTAAATGCTAAATAAATATTTTTGGGAAAACTTGAATATAGGTAACATATTAAATTATGGGCAATTTTCTTAGGCAGCTAAATGATTATACAGAAATATTTAGGGTTGAAGTTTTGATAGCTATGTCAATCTACTTTCATGAATAACCTGAGATAAAGTCATTAAGTATAGCAAAACACTAATATTTGGTTAATTTATGTACACAGTTGAAATTGTTTAACAAATGGGGGTGGGGTAATGAGGGAGAATGATGAATGAGGTTAATCTAAGATATATTGTAAGCACACATGTAAATATCACAATGTATCCCCCCAGTACAACTGTGATATGATTAAGAAAAGAAATTATACAGGATATCACTCCATTATTCTTTTGATTTTTTTCTCTAGGTTTTAAATTTATCAAAATAAAAAGTTGAGAAAAATAAACGAACAATTCATAGGTGAGATATAACAAATTCTCAAAATTATGATCTTATACCGCTTGCTAAGCTGTAAGATGTTTTATAATGTATATCTCACACAATCAAAGCATTTTCTGAGCCAATGTAACACTAAATATAAGGATGACACTGATGCTGTTTGACACTTCCCCATATTCTACTCTACCTTTTATCTCCTTTCTCCCAGTTCTACTTTTACTAGATAGCACTTGAAGGAAAAAGGACTGGGCATGGTAGGCCTTTAACAAACATTTCATTTTTTTCTATATACCACACTTTAAAAACAAATCAAAGTTTGAGCTCAATTCTATTTTAACTCCACATTCAGAAAACTAGGGGATTGTAAGACCAGTTCATTTATAGAAGTCAATTCAATAGTTACTACAAGTTACAACTGTAACTATTCCCATTCATACTATTGGACTGATATAATAGTAACATCTGAACTCTAGTTGAGATGCAACTTAATTTTTGCTGCTTCTCACTTTCCTTTAAAAATTCATAATTGTTTTAAAATGGTAATGCTAGCCCCTCCTTCTCAATTACTAACTGAAATGACAAAAGGAATACAAAGTGAATTTTAGTTCACAGTAGTAACTAGCTGGACAGTTTACCCATGTACTCTGACCTTTGCTGTGTAGTGAAGCAAGATGTTACCAGGTAGGTCGGCCATGTCAGATTCTTGACACTTCCAAGGGCTTAAACAATTTGGACCTGAAAATTATTTATACACATACACTGAATATATGGTTTCCTTGTTTCTGTGTTACCACACAAAAAAACTAAAATTTAGATCATTCAAGCTACTCAAAAAATAACCCAGCTAAAAAACACTAGATAAAGTCTATTTTAGTTTTTGTAATACCCCAATTTACCCAAAACCTAGAAAATTTGGGGAATAAGTCAACCTCCAAGGCAGAAAGGAAATTTTATATAGCATTAAAAACTATTATAGAACAAGAGCAAAACAATCATCAACTCAAATAAAAATCTATTAACTGTTCTAATTGTAATGAGTAAGAAAACAGCAAAACATTTCATCAATAATGTGACCAGACATCAGAGAAACTAAACAGTAAATGAGTAGGAAAAAAATGTTCACGTTTACTAAAAATTGAAGAAGTGTAAGTTTAAAGGATTCCATTTTATGTCTAATAATGAAGGAAAAAGTATGGAACATTCCATCTTACTGTGGCTGTGCTAAAACTGGCACACATCTATGTTATTGGTTGGCATTGTGAATTGGTATATTCCTTTTGGAAACTGATTACACAATATGTATTGAAAGCCATTAATATATTTGTACACTTCAAATATTTACCCTGGGACTCTGTCACTAAATTTACCAAGAAAAGAAAAACTCTAAATACAAATAGTTCACATATATAAAAATTAAAAATTATGCTGATATTAAAAATTATACAACAAAGCCTCTTTGTACTACTAAATATACTCATATAAGAATGTTTCATAAGCAGTACACATTATGTATTCAAGAAAATATGCAGAAATCAATAATGATCAT